TTGTCCACCAAAGTCTGCACATTGGGGTGGACTCTATCCTATCATGGCCTCAAATTATCTTTAGCAGGACAGGGTTGCCTGTGGTGGTAGAGGGAGCCTGAGCAATTAGGAGTATTTTATAACTACAAACAGCTTACCCAGGAGTAATTTCCTGTAGCCCTCCCCAAAGTGTGCAACCTTATGGAAAAGATTTTGTTCCACAGAACCTCGTACCTCTTTGAGCTCATCACGGTGTACTGTATTAACAGAAAGAAGGCTGATAAAGCATAGTGTCTACAAAGGCTCCACACAGGCTCCTTTACTTACAAATGTCCTGCACACATACACACAACTCCCTCTCCCACCCAGGTCCCCTGTAGGATGTGATGGCATGGAGACTGACGGTGTCAGTGCCCTCGGAGTCCTTGTCATGCTATAGCAGATTGTCCCATTCCTGATCTAGTTTGCACTAAACTCCACCACCCGTGTCCATCCCAGCTCATTTTCAGGTCATTCCAGCACTGTCCAGAACGCCCCACTCCTCACTTTCCACAGTAACGACATTTTCAGAGACCTGAGAGAGATGACAATTTTCTAGCTTCTTGACCCCTAAGATAACCTGGCTTTATTTCAGGCCATGTCCCTTCAGGCCCAGCACACTCAGGGGGTTGGGCAGAACAGGATCAACCCAGGACAGGTAGAGTGTGACCATCGCCTCACCTTCCTGGTCACCCTGGTCAGCGGTTAGCATGGACAGGCACGGCTGTGCTGTGTCTTCGCTAAAGTTGTCCTTAGCCACCTGGGCTCAGACCCTCTGCCCCTCTCCTTGGCTCCTGCTGCTTTTGTGGTCACGGCCTCTCAATGCTACTGAAGTGCACCTGAGCCCCGCCCTTCTTTTCTGATCATGTTACCTGAGCTTATGTCTTTCTCATCTTTTGCCAATACTGGTACCTCCCTTTATTCACCAATAAGGTCTCTATACTGCTCCCAGCAGCCAGCACTGTCCTTGAAAGACAGATCTTTTTGGGTTTTGTTTTGTTTTTTCGAGACAGTCTCATTCTGTCACTCTGGACAGAGTGCTCTGTCATTATCATAGCTCGCAGCAACCTGAAACTCTTAGGCTCAAGCAATCCTCCTGCCTCAGCCTCCCAAGTAGCTGGGACTACAGGTGCTGGCCACAGTGCCCAGCTATTTTTAGAGGCAGGGTCTCAATCTGGCTCAGCCTG